TGGTGCAGCCAGATGCAAACCCTGGTTGGCAGGCTCCAGAGCTGAGCTCGCAAACACTGCGCCCTGGTGGACGGGTAACCAACACAAAAGCCTTGCATTTGAAGACTCTCTGGTGCTTCTCACATTAGAGTACCTCTTGCTCTAAAAGCCTTCTGTCTGAGAGTTTGCACAGTATGACGTGCACTGAAAACTCCTCCACATGAGGAGAAATGGAGAGGAGGGCAGAGTAACTGTCTTTGAAGTAAAAATAAATCCTGGAAGCAAAATATAATAATGGTTCATAAAATTTGCTTCAACTTGATGTTCCCTTTCCACTTTGATTTATGGAAGTCGGTGTTTGGAGGAAAAGGTAAGGAGGTTTTGAAATATGAATGTTAGAAGAAGGAAAATATGTTTTCTGAGTCTGCAGAGATGGGATTATAAGAGAGAAGGGCTGACTGAGAGAGATCCCCTCAAATGTGAGGTGATGCAAATGTCCAGTAGCTGGAAACCATTTGCAAAAAGCACTCCCCTAAGGGTGAGGGAAAGGTCACATAGATGCAGATCACAGGAACCCCCACGCTTCCATTCGGAAGCCTATGCCCCTCTCTACCACCTTCCAGCTCCTTCAACCACCACCCTAGCAGGCCTGTCTTTGCTGGGACATTAAAAAGCAAAGAGTGTAAAGTTTATTCTCATATCTGTAACTATAATTATTAGCTAACATTTTGGTGCCTACAGAGTCCCTGCTCTGTGTCCACTGATTTAGTGTGTGATCTCACTTAACCTTCACAACAACCAATGAGGTTAAGTACTATGATCAGAAAACTGAGGCATAAGGCGGTTAAATAACTTGCCGCTTAGCTGTGTAGTGGGGGATGGGAGCAACCAGATATTAGTGCTCATCCCCATTCAATGGGGCTGGGGCCAAATACACAGACAGAATGGGAAGGGAACACAGAGAGCGCCTTCCATTCAACAGACGAGGAAACTGAGGCAAAGTAACCGGATCAAGCTCCCTCCTCTGAGGGCAGAGCCCGTGGTGTTTCCACCGGCCTCCATCTCTGAGTTGTCACACTTCAGGCTCGGAGATGGGCTGCAGCCTTACCTCCGCCAGACCCATCACTGCCCACTGCTTCCCCAAGCCGGCCCACCCATAGGCGGATCTCCCGTCACCCTTGGCGCTGTCAGATCTTCAGGTGCAAAACAAATAAGAAGCTGCCACTGACTGAGGGCTTACTAAACGCCAGGCCCAGTCAACCCTCATGTCACCCCTAGGGGACAAATACTATTATTTCCACTTTAAAGATGAAAAGATTGGCCTAGAACTTTTTAATCATCTGCCCAGGTCACACAGCTAGTAAAGAGCAAACTTGTAGCTACGGGGCTGCCCCCAAAACAGTGAAATCTTATTAACAGCTCCTGTTCCACCTTTTCTCCTTTATGTTCTTGCTGCTGCTTTCCACCCAGCAATGGCAGTAGATATGGTGTATATCTCACCAACGCCATGCTTGCCACCCTGCCCTGCAGCTGGACCAACTCTCTGTCTAGGGCCCTAAATTCTTCTATGGATTTCATGGCTCATGCAACTGATGCCCACTGAAAAGAAAGGGGCTCAGGGTCCTCTCCATCTCCAGCCCCAAAATGTCCCCAAATATTATTAAATTCTAGCAGCCAACAGTGCCCAGATCCCTCTGGGATAAGCAGTGATGCATGAGTTTGCCTGTGAAAACCTGAGAGCACCATAATTCAAGAAATGCAGGGAGCACGGTGTGCAGGATTCCTGAGATAATTGAAATTGACCCATAACTCACCAGCCACCACAGGAAATTCTATCACTTTGCACACTTGGCTTCCAGAGCTAGGAATCAAATCAGGGGAACATGATCAGATTTCTAATTTGGAACCTCAGACATGCAATGTCATCTTTAATGACTCCCGGTAAAAGATGCTCATTACAGATCCCAGCCCGCCTAAATTAGAACATGAAACTTAAAAAATTAAGCAGAAAATTCTCAATTTCTCAGGTTCATATAGCTACAGAGAAATCATGCAAGTGGGAATACACATACTCCTTAGGGTTTTATTCTGCCAGCAAATACTGAACAGGAATTAAATGAAAGAGAAGAGCTAGAAGGAAAAAAACCATAAACCCATGAGGTCCTAACTCAGGTTTGTGTCACCTGGGTGAACAGCCATCTTTCATGATCAATTTGAACTACCATGTCAAGGAACATTATCTCTCTGCTGATGGCCAATTTCATCTGGTCTGTTGACACAGAGCTCAGATTCCACCGATTCAGTAGGCTGCCGGCTTCAAGTCTTCTCTCACTGCTAAGTGAACTGAGAGATGGTACAGTCAGCATGATGTGTCAGGATCCTTTAAAATAGGGGGCTAGAAATTCATCTGTCAACATCAGCGCTAAGCCTCATTCAATGTAGATTTTCTAGAAGTTCAGGCAACCTCCAGAGACTGTGTTTAAATCTCTCCCCCAACTTCCTGTCCACCCTGCCCTTTGTGTTTCCCTATCGACCAATGGCGGCCACCACCCAGCAGAATAACATGCATCACCAGCTTTCACATCTGTTCATGACTCAATTCTTCTCAGACCCAAAGCCACAAAGAAAAAGCAAATTCCCTGTGTGCAGCAAGGCCTCAATATGGCCCAGAAATATTAACATCAAGTTAGGTGTAAATAGAAACTACAAATTCAGAACTTTGTTTTCGTCCCCTGGTTCCCTGGGGACCAGGACCAGTATAGAGTTATGCTGACAGGTCCTGAACGTGAAATGGCAAGCCTTCTCCTAAGGGCGGAGAAGCATCTACAAATAGTGCAGAAGAGAAGCTGTAATTCTTAGGCTTTCTCAATTAAAACACTACTTCTTCTGAGCCTCAAATTGTGCACTATAGCTCAGAGAGACTTACTCTCCCCTTCTAAATTCAACTACTGACTGCAAAATGGTTGCTGTGTACAAAGAATGTAGACCAGGTGTTTCTAAATATAACTGCAAACCAGAAACCCTTCAGGAAACTAAAACAAAAATGCAAAGGGAAAAATCTACACCCGTGCATGCTAAAGGAAGTCAAAGCCAAAGTCTAGTTCGCTCCCAGGAAAGACCATGTTTGTGATTTCATCACACGCCCTTGGCAACCTCTCCTTTTAGGATAACACATTCCAGGGAGTCAGCCCAGAGCTTCTCCTGCAGAGTAACTTTTCATTATTAAGCTCTTGCCCACCTTTGTCTTAAAACATTAACCGGGATGGAGGGGAGAGTGTTTCAACATCTTGGAGTTCACACTACTTAAGCCTGGATCTGATCAAGGATGACAAAGGTCTTGGCAGACATGCTCTCTCCACCTCCACTGTATGTATAGAATTGAGGGTCTTAGGACAAAAACAATTAATTAATTAGAATAATAAAGGACAAGAAGACCACATGCTTTGAGTGTGAAGTAGAGTCAACTGTCTAACCTGCCTTTGGTGACAATCAGTGGGTTGGCATTTATGGACAAGGGCCTGGAACCTGGAGCCATCACTGAGAAACTTTTTAGGAGACTGTACTTCCCAAGCAATGTATTGGTGCAAGCATGCACACCCAGGAGGCAGAGGAACCACGCTAGGCGCACACCAGGCACTTAACACACCTCCCCCAAATCATGTTGGCTCCCAACACATTTATTCAGTAAATTACTTTTATGAGTCAGTCAAAATTTAACAAAGCCTTCCAACCGGGCTCACCTTCTAAATAAGAACCACTTGCGGCCACCTACACAAGTCCCTTTGCTAGCATTCCTCAACCCTGCCATTAAAACTATGCAACATGTGGTATCAGATGAAGTGATTCAGGGCAGACCGCAGCAATTACATGACATTCCTTGCAATAGCCATATGATATTTCTACAACCAAGAAGCAAACTGGACCCAAAATAAAATGTGTTTACAGAGGCTTAGAAAAAGTCTGTAATGAGTTCCTATTACTATGAGAAACCAGGATGTTGTGTACCTTCCATTCCCTTTTTAACAGCAAATTAGATAGAGTGATATTCACTGAGCTCTCCCCCACATGTGTCTTGGTTCTTCCACTTACAGGGACGAAATCTAAGACTAGGGCCAAAAATGGCAACTCTGAGCCAGGCCAAGACTAGGGACAGACAAATGTAAAAACCTAAAGAGCAAATTTCAGTAGGCACTGATTCCCATGGCTGTACAAGTCCCCAGCCTGAAGCTCCTATATTAGGTTTGCAATTGCAAAAGCCAGCTGTGTCATTTGTTACATACTGGAAGAGATAAGAAAAACACCACAGCATGCCAGCCCATCTGGAGAACAACAATCAGAAACAGCAGGGGGACTGAGAAATCTTTTTGGAACAAAGATTCCAGGCCAGCCACATTTTATGGAGCAAAATCAAGAAGAGTAAAAAACTCTGGAAAGTCACCTGTCCATCCATGTGCACTGGGTATGAGAATAATAGAAGGGTAAAAGCTAACATCTACTATGCGCCAGATGCTTTAAATGTATTAGATATTCGAAACAACTATTGAATATGGGTATTATCATCATTATTATTACCATTTAAGAGATAAGAACACTGAAACTTAGACTGAGTGAAACTGCCTCAGATCTGAGAGCTAGTAAATGCCAACACTGGCCTCTGCTCCTATCCTAAGTTAATTTTTTAAATCAACAGTCCCACATATGTAGATGTCATTTTCAAGAAAAACAGGACACCAATAATCGATATATAGTAGCATGTCCCAAGTTAGTAAGAAACCACTTGAACATAACCCTTTTACATTTATACACAGATGTGGAGTGAAACTTTCTTATCTCACACATTCTCATAACCTGACAGGATTTTTGAGAGGTTCAGAAAGCATAGATTGCCATCCTGCTGGGCCGATGAAGAAATCCAAGCGCCGAAGGCAGCTTGAGTGAGCAGCAGAGAGAGGACGGCGGTCCAGTCTCTTCAAAGCTGCACTGCACACCCCCAAAGAGCTTTAATGGGCCAAGGCACTGACCTCCACATCCCCGTGAAACTGAACATGGTGCTCACACAGCGAGGGAGGGGCGGCGGCGTGAGTCCGTCCAGGCGCATGAGCAGAGCTGGGACGCCGAAGAGCACCAAGTACTTCACATAGAAAAAGAGCACCTGGGCCAACGCCAGACCTCCTGAAAGACAGAGGGACACAACAACATGAAGTAAGCGATCTCCTGGGAAAGATGCAACATGCCAGGAAATACACCACCTGCTCCCACCTCTCCACCTACTTCCTTTCCTCCCCTTTACTCACACATTAAAAAAAGTCTTCATTGGATTTGAGGAATGAAGTTTGAGGATTAACAAATATTGAAATCACCTTTATTACTGTAACAGACAACAGGACCTCTTAGAAGTCATGCTTTTACAGATACTAGTAAATAATTCAAAACATATACATATATATTGCATTACAAAACTATTACAAAGGGAAAAATCCTTCCCAAATCCTTTCAAAACCCCCTACGAGTTCACACCCACTAGAATGGCTAAAATCAAAAAGTCAGATCAACAAGGGTTGGCGAAGATGCAAAGACACTGGAACATGATACGTTGTTGGCGGGCCTGTAAAATGGTGCAGCCACTTTGGAGATGAGTTTGACAGTCCCTGAAACAATTAAACACAGAGTTATCATACGACCTAGCAATTCTACTCTTTGGTATATGTCCAAGAGAAATGAAAACAGATGTGCACACAAAAACTTACACCCAAATGCTCACAGTGGCATTGTTTACAGTGGCCAAAAAATAGGAACAACTCAAATGTCCATCGACAGATGAAGGATTGTAGTATAAAATGTAGTTATTCATACAGTGCAATGTTATTCAGCTATAAAAAGGAATGAAGTATTGACATGTGCTACAACATGGATAAACCTTGAAGACATCATGCTAAGTAAAGTCAGTCAGTCACAAAAGACCACATAATAGATGACTCCGATTCATAACAAAGTCCAGAATAGGGAAACAGACAGATAGAGGACAGAAAGTTGATCAGTTGTTTATTAGCCTGGAGCTGGGGGAAGGATTCTGGGGGCGTGGAAGCTAAAGAGTAAGGTTTCTTTCTGAGGTGATGAAAATGTGCTCAAATTGGTGGTGGTAACAGTAGCAAGAATCTGTGAATATATTAAAGCCCATTGCATTGTACACTTTAAACATATGAATTTTAAGGTATATGAATTACATCACAATAAAGCTGTTTTATTAAAAACAAACAAGCAAACAAACATGAGGGTCCCGCACTGCAGCAGCCAGAGTTCTCTTAGCCCAAATCTCACCTTTCTGGGGTGAGAAGAATGCAGGGTGCAGGCCTTGGGTGAGGAGTGAGGCCTGAGACTCATGCTATAGCCCACAAAGGTGTCCATTTGTCCTGCTGGGAGCCATCCATTTCTCCAGCTGGGGTCAGGATGCTCTACTGATTACCACCTCTCCTTGGGCTTCTGGCTGGCTGCTTTGACCTTTTTGCCCTGGGTCAGGGGTCCTGGGCTCCTGGCCAGCAAGGCACCATAGACCTGGGCCAGCTGTCGGCCTCATCTGTGCTGGGCTCAGCAGCCAGGTGAAGAGATGTGGCAGGTCCGCCAGAGCAGAGCCCACACCGAGGCCAAAAGCAAAGCGAGTGTGGGGGCCCTGGAGAAGATGACCAGCAGCTGCATGCCATCGAACCTCAAGACAACCTTCCCCAGTGCCGGGAAATACTTCAGGGAAGGTTTGTACAGCTGACCAGGTTATCTATTGGATACTCAGAAGGAAATAACTAAGCCTTAAAGAAAAGATTAGTATTTTCCTTATTAGTAAATAACTAACAGAAAATATTCCTGTATGGCCCTCTTGATGTTACACAAAGATCTTTGAAATCAAGTCACTACTACAGAATGTGTGGCTGTAAATGGTGACTGTGCAGAAGAAACACATAAGCCATTTTCTGGACATACATTTGGCATGAAGGCAAATGGTGATTCACATTTGAAAGCTACATGCCCAACAAAGAGAAAACCCCAGGAATCGCTGTGTCTTGTTCCCATTCAGGAGTAGTTATACAGGTTCTTCAGACTTTTGGGAACCAGACTACAGTCATATCTGCAGGAAGGGCTGGGTATAAAATTGTTGCATTCTTGGATTTGTCTGATAATAGTGAAGGAAAAAAGCTAGGGTGGGGATATGTGTGCTAGCCACACAATCTTAAAAGCACTTGAAGGGCATATGACTACCCTGAATGATGAAGAAATCAGCTCCACTGGCTGAGATGGTAAGGGGGTGGGGGGGCCACTCTAAAATACTCCAAAATGAATCATCAGTCTCCAGTCAAAAAAAATCCAGGAGCTAGAAAAGACATAAGTAAGGATGACTAATTAAAAGCCACAAAGCTTCTAGAGCTGAAAATAATCAGTCTAGAGCTGAAGACATCAAAGGACACACAAGCGTGCATGATCAAGGCCACAGGGAGCTCTTGAATACATGAAGCATCAGAGACTCCTTTTCCCTGTTCACAGGATATAAAATCAAGGAGAACAGGTTGCTCCCTGTCTCAAGCCTTTAATTCAACACTAGTTTGTGTAGTTGTCATGTAAGCCATTTGAATTAAAATCCATAGCTAGGTCTACATTTTTATGAGTCCCTATTGCCCACAGTCTTCACCATTTGTTTTTACTTCATAGAGAAACTGGACTAAAGAAAGGGTTGACTTTGTATAGGTATCTACTAACTCTATGGTAGATCTAAGTAACATAGTTGTAATTTCTGTATTTTTTAGTTTATAAGAAAATTCTGTTTGTACCCACAAGTTCAACAATTCTGCTGTCTTGCTATTGGTTTTCATCATTCCTATTAAAGATGCTTGGTTCATTCTTTTATCCCCTTGACTTAAAGATTAGTCTTTCCCTTGTAAGATTTGATCTAAGGTTTCAGGGTTAACCGTAAGGATTTTATTACAGTCTCTTCACTAAGCATACAACTTGATAGATGGCAGCCTAAGAATATAAATGACTCTACTCTGATTAAAAGTTATTTGACACACATAAATTGAACTAGCTTTCATTCAGAAACACAAAACTTGGCTATTTTTCAATACTTAATTTTTGCCTGGGTTTGCATTTAAAAGATTCTCTCATTAGCATGAATTAGTATTGATTTTACTTAGCCTAAAATAAACCATTCCTCCCAAACAAGTCATAGATGGGTTCAGATATTTTGCAATCCTTTGACATTCACTGATTCAATAAGCATGTACAGAGTGCCTGACTACTAACCACTAGTTTGGGGCTACAGTAGGGAGAGCAACTCTCAAATCAGGTGGGGACCCAGCCTTCAGGGCCCTCACTGGTCAGTGTCATTACAGTGCCATTTATCCTGCCCGTCTGGCACACAGTGTTTTCTTCTGCCTTTGTGCACTATTCCTCCTTCTCCTCTTGGCAAAATCCCATTTGTCCTCAGATCCCAGTTCGGATACAATCTCTTCTTCACAACCTCTCTATGCTCTGAGCAAAATTAATTAGTAACTAATTTTTGCATTCACTTAATATATAGTTATTAAGCACTGACTGCTTGCCAGATACTGAGCGGTACAGTGGGGAATAAGGCATGAACCCAGCCCCTATGGGTATACAGTCTGTTAAGAGACAGAAAGAATATAAATCAGGAGTGAGATTGAGCCCACACCAGGAGGACAGGGGACAATCTGAACACAGAGGCTGAGACACATTTGTTAGGACATTTAACAAATACACATTGTGTACTTGTGATGTGCCAAGCATGGTGTAGGTGCTCCATATACATCAGGGGATAGACACTCCTGCCTGCATCCTGTTGTGCAGCTGCAGAACTGCCGTCTTGCATATTTGAATCCTGCTCTCAGGATTCCCATAGCGAGTGTAAGGCACTGGGTCTAACTTCACTCTATTTCAGAAGGCACGTTGTTACTGCACTGTCTTATCTGTCCCCGCCGGCGTATACCACCCTGACTCGCCACTACACTTCCATCCCTAGCCTGTCCTGGGCTCCCACCACCATCCATGGCCTGATTTCATCTCTAGACCTTTTCTGCTCCAAGGTAAATGATTCTAGCCATTTTCACCTTGTCTATATCAAGCTATTGTAGATTTGTTTAAATACTCTATGATTAAGTCTGTTCAGATTCAAGAAGCCTAGATATTTTATAAAAGTTCCTTCTCATATAAAGTTCTTTATAGGAACATCCCATGCCTATAGTTAACAATATCATATTTTACACTTAAAAGTTTATTGAGAGGACAGACCACAATTAAAAAGCAAAAAAGAACCTTTCATATATAAGATCTGGGATAAGTACTAGAAGCATAAAGACTCATCAAGAAGAAGACAGACCAGAAACCACGACACCAGACGGAAGCAGTGCCATGAGAGACTGGGAGTCTCCTGTCCAGCTGGGGGTGTGGGGAGGGAGGCGGGAAGGTCAACACCCGCGGTGGACGTTACCAAGAGGTCACCGGGTTCTGCGGATGCTGAAGGAGATGGCCATTGCCTTAGTCAAGAACTGTGACTGCCACGGGCAGGGAGTGAGGTAAAGGGCAGAACTGAGGGCTGCTGCCAGGCGCTGCCGAGGAGCACGCCCACGTGGGAGGGAGGATCAGCGTGCTGGTGAGAGATGCGGGCAACTGCTGACTGCTCTTGGGGGGCTCGGTCGGCCTGGAGGGGCCAAGGAGGCGAAAGGAACTCAGCCATTTCTACTCACTGAGTTCTGGGAAGAAATGACTGAAGCCAGTGCTGTAGTTTCAGCCTAGACGAGAGGATTTAGAAGCTGAATCTGCAGCCCCACCAATTGGACTCGGCAGAGTAACTGACCTGCTGAGGGAGAAACGGGCTGGGACCCAGCAGTTAGTTGTGACACATGGGGACACCATCCCAGGCTGAATCTCTGACTACAGTGAACGCCTGTAACTTACCAACCTGGCTGTGGTTTGTATTACACTACAGTAATAATATGCTCTAAACAGCTGGCCATATGTGCTGATGACAAGGCTACCCACCGGGGGCAGCTGACCCTCCAGGGTGCAGAAAGGAGGGTGTTTGGGGACCAGGCTGCATCTACCCCAGGAGCAGTTAGATCACAGTAGAAGGTTTCAAGGCTGCTTCTAAGAAATGCAAATACTGAGTATTC